TAAAAAAAAAAAAAAAAAAAAAAAAAAAAAAGACCTTGGATATGTAGCTCCACAAGAAAGAAGGGCAAGAGACTAGGTGAGTAGTAAAGTCATATATTAGAAAGATATGCAATCAAAATATGAATATACAGATCCTTAGAGAGATTAGGCTAGCATTCAAAAAATGTTTTCAAGTTAGCTATATTAAAAAAGTTAATTACATATTATATAGGGTATACCCCTATATAAAAAAGACTTTGAAAATATAATACATAACTAATATTTTAAAATCTTGAATTTAAAATCTTGAATCTGGGACCATTTACTAATACACAAGCCAGACCAGATATATAACTACCAGAATCCTATAGCAAGCCATATGTGCTACTAAGTTTCCTGAATTCTGTAAGTTGTATCTATATACCAAGCATGTGTTTATCAAATTAGATACACAGAGCCCCCCTGAGGGGCCTTCATAGTCCATGTAAGGACCAGGTCTTTCATATAGGTACCATAATATACACCTTTCCCCACTCCAGATACTCTCAAAATACTAGCCAGGAATGAGGCATAGTTATATATATGATACAAAGTTACAGTGAGATGAATGGTAAGAGGCAAGGGTTGGTGGAAGGGGAAATAGAGAAAGAGAAAGCATCTTCTTTAAAAATGCTTATAAAGTACAAAAGTTAGCAGCCTAAGCACCAAAGAATTTTCTGCGCATCAGGGCACCTGAAAGACCACCAGGATAGGTGGACACCAGGGAGCAACTCTCAATGTGAACCCAAGCCAGAAATGTTTGAGATTTTGCAGTGCCGTCCAGAAGCAGTGGTAACAGACACCTTAGGCTCTCTGACATGTGCTCCGACAGAATCCCACTGCATCTACAAACTGCCATACCTAAACAGAGCCAAATAGCTAGAGCCCAGACCATGGCTCAGCTCCCACCCCTAAAGGCTCCCGTGGCCTGTATACAGCTCCAACAGGGAGCCATAGCAAAGCTCTAGAGCCAGTGACCCGACAGCTGCTGGTGACCTCACTGCCCCAGAATAAGCCTCAAGGGTAGAGCCAAGTACCTGGGCTATGGGGTCTCCTGAAGACCCATCCCCAAGCTTTGCCTTCACCCCTGAGCCCATCTTTGATTCTCACCCCATGGTGGGAAGTGCAAGGCATCAGGAAGAACATCGGGGCTGGGGATGGGGTAGAACACCCAGGGAGAGAAATGCTGTTAACCTCAAGTACTCTGAGTTTCAGTCTCAGTTTAGCTATTACTTGTTGGAAGATCAGAAACATGTTCTCTACCTCATTTACAATAAGCTTCCCAGTCTACTATGCAGGGAGATTACCTAAAAAAAAAAATCCAGTTACTGTAAGTGATGTGTTTTGATCGAATATTAACATGTCCAAGGGAACTGGGGAGACCACAGTTAACTGAAATCTACCAATCTTGTAAACAATAAAACCTACTGCCTCCTACACCTCCCTTTTTATCAAAACAATTTTTTTGAAAAAGCAAAGATCACTGATTTGGATTTTGTTTCTCTTACAATATTTCCTCCTTCCCCACTACCCATCCCTACCTTCTCCATTCCACTACTTGCAAGAGGAGAGGTATTAATGATAACTGAAACAGAAGATTTAGTAAGAAGGCAGATGCAAAGAGCCTGGACAATCCACAGACTGCTTTAACTGCTGCTAAGATAGAAAGTTTTCATGCATACACCACATTTACACCAACAGAAGAAAAGTCCAAATACCTGAAATTGTACAAATGTTTTTGGTAACTTCATTAGAAGATCAAATGCTAAAATTTTCACTTCTTCAAAAGTGCCAGTTAAACATTCCATTAGCGTTTGGAAACGACCAACATCAATATCATGACTCAGCTGATATACTGTTTGGACTCTACCTAAAATTTAAAAAAAAAATTTTTTTTAAGTGAACAGCAGTAAAAGGAAATCAACATTTTGAAGTTATGTGGCCAAATTTACAGAAAATTAGTATAAGAACTCACACCTTATATTTTACCCACAACAGCGTAAAAAATATTTCCAATAGTTTACTAAAATGATAAAATAATAAGTATTACAATTCTACAAATAGGAAATATTTTTCAATAACCATTTTTAAAAATTGAAGAATAGTTCATATACAATGTGTTAGTTTCAGGTGTACACCAAAGTGATTCAGATATATATATTTACACACACACACAAACACACACACATACTCCTTTTCAGATTCTTTTCCATTATAGGTTATTACAAGATATTGAATATACTTCCCTGTGTTATACAGTAGGTCCCTGTTGTTTACCTATTTGATACGTAGTAGTATGTATACATTAATCCCAAACTACTAATTTACGTACCCCCCTGCATCCCACTAGCCCCTTTGCTAACCATAAGTTTGTTTTTTTTGTCTGTGTCTCTTTCGGTTTTGTAAATAAGTTCATTTGTATCATTTTTTAAGATTCCACATATAATTGACATCATATTTGTCTTTCTCTGACTTCACTTAATATGATAATATCTAGGTTCATCCATGTTGCTACAAATGGCATTATTTCTTTTTTATGGCTGAGTAGTATTCCATTGTGTGTGTGTGTGTGTGTGTGTGTGTGTGTGTATGTCTACGTACACACACACCACATCTTCTTTATTCATTCGTTAATGGGCATTTAGGCTGTTTCCAAGTCTTGTTATTGTAAATAGTACTACTGTGAACACTGAGGTATATGTATCTTTTTGAATTAGAGTTTTTGTCATTTCCCGATATATACCCAGGAGTGGAATTGCAGGATCATATGGTAGGTCTATCTTTAGTTTTTTAAGGAATCTCCATACTGTTCTCCATAGTGGCTGCACCAATTTATATTCCCACCAACAGTATAGGAGGGTTCCTTTTTCTCCACACTCTCTCCAGCATTCATTATCTGTAGACCTTTTAATGATGGCCATTCTAACTGGTGTCAGGTGATACCTCATAGTAGTATTTTTTTTTTGCCACACCAAAAAAAATCCTGGGCTTGCAGGATCTTAGTTCCCTGAGGAGGGATCGAACCCAGGCCCCTGCAGTGGAGGCGCAGAGTCTTAACCACTGGACCGCCAGGGAATTCCCGCTCATTGTAGTTTTGTTGTTGTTGTTGTTGTTGTTGTTGTTGCTGTTGTTGTTTGCGGTACGCGGGCCTCTCACCGTTGTGGTCTCTCCCGTTGCGGAGCACAGGCTCCGGACGCGCAGGCTCAGCAGCCATGACTCACAGGCCCAGCCGCTCCGCGGCATGTGGGACCTTCCTGGACCGGGGCACGAACCCGTGTCCCCTGAATCGGCAGGCGGACTCTCAACCCCTGCGCCACCAGGGAAGCCCTCACTGTAGTTTGTATTCCTCTAATAATTAGCGACACTGAGAATCTTTTCATGTGTCAGTTGGCCATCTGTATGTCTTCTTTGAAGAAATGTCTATTTAGGTCTTCTGCCCATTTTTTGATTGAGTTGTTTGTTTTTTTGATATTAAGCTATATGAGCTGTTTGTATATTTTGGAAATTAATCCCTTGTCTATAGCATTGTTTGCAAATATTTTCTCCCAGTCTGTAAGTTGCCTTTTCATTTTGTTTGTGGTTTCCTTTGTTGTGCAAAAGCTTTTAAGTTTAATTAGGTCCCATTTGTTTATTTGTTTTTATTTCCATTACTCTAGGAGATGGACCCATAAAATATCGCTGCAATTTATGTCAAAGAGTGTTCTGCCAATGCTTTCCTCTAAGAGTTTTATAGTATCCAGTCTTATATTTAGGTCTTTAATCCATTCTGAGTTTATTTTTGTATATGGTGTTAGAGAATGTTCTAATTTCTTTCTTTTACATGTAGCTGTCCAGTTTTCCCAGCACCACTTATTGAAGAGAATGTTTTTTCTCCATTGTATATTCTTGCCTCCTTTGTTGCAGATTAACTGACCATAAGTGAATCAGTTTATTTCTGGGCTTTTTATCCTAGTCCATTGATCTATGTGTCTGTTTTTGTACCAGTACCATACTTTTTTGATGACTGTAGCTTTGTAGTATAGTCTGAAGTCAGGAAAAGTGATTCCTCCAGCTCTGTTCTTCTTTCTCAAGATTGTTTTGGGTGGTTGGGGGTCTTTCGTGTTTTCATACAAACTTAAAAATTTTTTATTCTAGTACTGTGAAAAATGCCATTGGTAATTTGATAGGGATTGCACTGAATCTGTAGATTGCCTTGGGTAGCATGGTCATTTCAACATTATTGATTCTTCCAATCCAAGAACGTGGTGTATCTTTCCATCAGTTTGTGTCATCTTCAATTTCTTTCATCAGTGTCTTACAGTTTTGGGGGGTATAGGTCTTTTGCCTACTTAGGTAGGTTTATTCCTAGGTATTTTACCCTTTTTGATGCAATGATAAATGGGATTGTTTCCTTAATTTCTCTTTCTGATATTTCACTGTTTGTGTATAGAAATACAACAGATTTCTGTATATTAATTTTGTATCCTGCAACTTTACCAAATTCATTGATGAGCTCTAGTAGTTTTCAGGTAGCATCTTTAGGATTTTCTATGTATAGCAACATGTCATCTGCAAACAGTAACAGTCTTACTTCTTTTCCAATTTGGATTCCTTTTATTTCTTTTTCTTTTTCTGACTGCTGTGGCTAGGACTTCCAAAACCATGCTGAATAAAAGTGGCGAGAGTGGGCATCCTTGTCTTGTTCCTGATCTTAGAGGAAATGCTTTTTGCGTTTCACCATTGAGTATGATGTTAGCTGTGGGTCCATCATATATGGCCTTTATTATGTTGAGGTATGTTCTCTCTATGCCTACTTTCTGAAGAGTTTTTATCATAAAAGTTTTACCATAAAAACAAAAGGGGGGAAAACAGACCTACAAAAACAAATCCAAAACAATTAATAAAATGGCAATAAGAACATAACATATCAATAATTACCTTAAATGTAAATGGACTAAATGCTCCTACCAAAAGACACAGACTCGCTGAATGGATACAAAAACAGGACCCATATATATGCTGCCTATGAGAAACTCATACAGATCTAGAGACACATACAGACTGAAAGTGAGGGGATAGAAAAAGGTATTCCACATGAATGGAAATCAAAAGAAAGCCAGAGTAGCAATATTAGCATCAGATAAAACAGACTTTAAAATAAAGACTGTAACAAGAGATGAAGAAGGACACTACATAATGATCAAAGGATCAATCCAAGAAGGAGATATAACAACTGTAAATATATATGTACCCAATATTGGAGCACCTCAATATATAAGGCAAATGTTAACAGACATAAAAGGAGAAATTGGCAGTAACACAATAATAGTGGGGGACTTTAACACCTCACTTACATCAATGGACAGATTACCCAGACAGAAAATCAATAAGGAAACACACGACTTAAATGACACATTAGACCAGATGGACTTCACTGATATTTAAAGAGCATTCCATCCGAAAGAAGCAGAGTCCACATTGTTTTCAAGAGCACATGGAACATTCTCCAGGATAAATTACGTGATAGGCCACAAAGCAAGCCTTGGTAAATTTAAGAAAACTGAAATCATATCAAGCATCTTTTCTGATCACAACGTTATAAGGCTAGAAATCAACTACAAGAAAAAAACTGCAAAATTCAAACACACAGAGGCTAAACAATATGCTACTAAACAACCAATGGATCACTGAAGAAATCAAAAAATACCTAGAGACAAATGAAAGGAAATAAGTAGTTTTTAAAAATTTGTTTAAAACTATTTCATTCTCTTTCAAAAAGTTATATATTATATATAAGATACCTAAGTTATTTTTCAAATAAACAAGTACAAACAAATAAATTCAGGAATACATCTTTTAAAAAAACCTTCATAAACTTTCTTGTCCTAGAATCCAAAGTCCTACCATGTCTTAGGTGAACTGACATAGAATAATCAATACAATGACATATCCTTTATATAATTTAAAAATCTGCCTGTTTGACTTGAATCTTATTCAAATATGTAGTTTTCCCTAGGCAACCATTCAACTACATGTATTACTTGCACTTAGGTTTGGTTGACTGAAAGAATCAGAGTGGAGGATGGAAGAGGAGGCAGTGATGTAAACAAAACAGAATGTGGGCTTCCCTGTTGGTGCAGTGGTTGAGGGTCCACCTGCCGATGCAGGGGACGCGGGTTCGTGCCCCGGTCTGGGAGGATCCCACGTGCCATGGAGCAGCTGGGCCCGTGAGCCATGGTTGCTGGGCCTGCGCATCCGGAGCCTGTGCTCCGCGGCAGGAGAGGGGCCCGCGTACCGCCAAAAAAAAACCAAAAAACAAAAACAGAATGTTAGGTCTCCCTCAAATAAATACCCGAGTAGGTGGATTACTCTGTGAATTTCCTATTATAACACAGATAATCATAATTGATGGATAAGTTGAGGTATCTGCATTGCCCATAGTCTATTATAAGAATATTACCCGCAGTTTTTTTTTAATAAAGATTGACTGTTACAAAAAAAAAAGGTTAAAATTATTATCAATATGGAATAATCATTTCAGTGTTTAATATACAAATGTGTGAACAGGTTGATTTTTTTAAAGTAACATTTACATTATTAACCATTGAAATAAACGATTATATTTATAGAAAAAAATAAAAAAGGCATATCCTAATACCATTCCTGGACATCAACAGTAAAGAAGGAATCTTTTTGCCATTCAGGCAAAAAGTTCAATTCATCTACAACGTGGAAAAAATCAGGCTGGCTTCACTCTGCCACAGCAGTATGTAGTGCTAGAAGATAGTGGAGCAATGCTTACCAAATCCTTAGGGAGAAAAGGGGTAATGAAAATCTACATATCAAAATCCCATTCCAGTATCAAGTATAACAGCAATATAAACATTTTTG